GGGGGGGGGGGGGGGGCGTTGCTGCACCCTACGACCCCTCCTTGCCCTATGGACAATGATGTTAATTGAAAGATTACGCAATGGTCATGGGCTTCCCGGGGGGCTACAACGTGATAGCTTCAGTTGCAACGCGCATAAAGGTTGACCCACCATGTGCAATCTTGATGGCAACAACCGTATGAATGCACACCCGATGCACTGGGCGACCCGGGGTAGGGGGACAGCATGAATGCACTTCACTCAATGCTCTGCTGCGCAACCCCGGGTCATGCTTGCCTCAGAGCAGGCTGAGCAAGACAAATCAATGTCCCGGTTGTTTGGGTTGCAGTGCACGTGCGTGTTTTGCACGTGATGATCGACCACTACACGCACAGTGCTCTGATTTTTGATTGGCTGGTAAACGGCCTGCACTGCTTCACGGCGCAGTCGCTTGCCATGGCATTGGCTTTGAAATCTCTCTGCAGGTTGCGCGAGAGGAGTGCCCCTCGCAGACATGCACACCAACCATGCTGGCGTGGACCACCATTGGGAACGCGGCAAGCAGTCATTGTACACCTTAAATTCAACGTGCAAACTTACCACCAGGTCACTGGCAGCCTCCTGCCAAGCTTTGAGCCTGGTGCAAGGGCAGTGAACGCAGGACCGGTGTTGAAAAGTGCCCACGGCGCTGTGCCGCACTGCTGACTTGGACTTGATTGGTGTACACCATTGCAACTCTTTGCCTGCCGGCTTTTGTCAAGGCCCAGTCTAGAACGGTACAACCACTCAGCGTCTGCCATTGGACACCGTGCCTCACGTGACATGATGCGTACCGTAGCTGAGACGCAGCTGGAGCAATGGCATGCCGCTCGCCGACCTCCCACGCCAGCCATGCGCAGAAGGTAGACTTGACTCGTCCATTCTTGTGAGCGTCAGGGTTGTCTGGCCGGCCTATGCCTACTAGTAGGTCGTTTGTTTCGCGGCACAGGTCTGTCCCGTCTGCGCCCTTTGCGGGCGGACGGCAGCCCCTCTTCTTGTATCGTTATAGCTCGATCCTATCTGTCAAGGCGCCCAGCACGTACTTCAAACTAGCTTTTGCTGATCTCCTGGTCGGAGCACATCAAAATGGCAAAGTTGGTGGAAACGTTTCAGCGCCTGCAAAAGATAGAAACAGCATGCATGCCCAAGGACGATCCAGCGCCCGGTAGGCGCGTGGCAGCGGTTTCAGCAGCAGCGTGAAGCGCAGGCCGCTCGCTTGTGCTGCTGTCGTCGCTGGTGCCGCATGGGGAGTGGGATGGTTAGTGATGCTACGTGCGACCAACTGGCCTCATGTAGAGCATGCAGCAGTCACGGTATAGCGCAATTGCGCACGCCGATCAGGAGGCTACCTCGCCATTCCCTACACATCCGCCCCCCCCTTCACACACACACGCACACACCCCTCGCGCGCTCTCAGTCTTCCTGCTGGATGAGATCCTGGAGCTGGCGCGTTCCTCCCCCGAGCAGGCCCAGGCTGTTGCTGAGTCGATTGAGCGCAAGCTGGCCAGCAAGTCGCCTATAGTCAAGTTCAAGGTGGGCCGACAGGGGAAAGTGGTGATGGTGTTGGTGCATAGACAAGGATGCACGGGTGCAAAGCCACGCCGGCATGCAGGAAATGCGATGCAGCGCTGAGATTCCTGGAGTTGGCTGCTGAGGGACGCATTGCCTGGTCAAACATGTAACGCGGATGTTTTCTCCATGGGTGCTGCTGTTGTCCTCATGCCGCGACTCACTATGGTGCCCAAGCGCAGGCCCTGCGCATCATCAAGCACCTCTGCACCAAGGGCTGCTCCACATTCCAGCGCTGCATGCAGAAGCAGTCAGGCGCCGTGCGGTGAGGGCCTGCCTGGGATAGCCGGGCCAGCATTGGGACCAGCTGCTTGCGCCGAGCCTGAACGCGCTTGAGTACAGAGTAAGCCATGCGGGCCTCTCTCGCTGGCCCGTTATCGGCGCCTGGCCCCCATGCATGGCCCCGTCATACCTTGGGCACGTCTCTCAGGGAGCTGGTGCACTGGCGCGGCGAGCCCGACCCCTTCAAGGGCGACGTCCCCAACGCACGCGTCCGCGAGTTTGCCAAGGAGGTCCTGGAGGTGCTCTTCAACGCCAACCCAGTGGCCAGCTCGGCGGCGGCCTCGGGCAGCCTCGCGGCGCAGGGCCGCATCCAGGGCTTTGGCAGCGACGGCCCCGGCGGCGCCGCGCCGGGGCGCAGCTCTCACAGCAGTGGCTATGGCGGCGGCGGCGGGGGCGGCGGCGGCGGTGGCATGGGCGCGCTGGCGGGCGCGGCGGCGTCGCTGGAGGGGCCGCTGGCGGCGGGCGTGGCGACGGTAGCAGGCGCGATCAATGACTTTTTGGGCAACTCGGGCGCGCGCACGGGGCTGACGGGCTCGCGTTACGGCAACACCAGCCCCACCCGCAATGGCGGCGGAGGTGGCGGGTACAACAACGGCGGCGGCGGCTATGGCGGCTTCGAGCCCATGGGCGGCTACAACGGCGGTGGCGGCGGGTCCTCCTCGTCGTCTGCGCCGCGCGTGACGCCGTCGCAGGTGTTGGGCAGCGAGGAGAGTGTGGTGGGCGACGTCTGCGCGCCGGGCGGGCTGCGCCCCACACCGGATGCGGCAGACCTGCGGCGCTTTGTGGGAGCGTCCAGCGCGATGGACGGCCTCAGGCTGGCGGAGGTGCTGCGCGCCAAGATGGAGGGCGCCGGCGGCTGGCAGGTCGCGCTGCGCGCGCTGTGCGCGCTGGAGGCTGTGCTGCAGCAGGGCAGCAGCCAGGCGGCGGGCGAGGTGGCGGTGATGTTCCAGTCGGACCCTGCGCCCCTGCAGGCGCTCGCGACGGCGCCGCAGGCCCTCGTACGCGACGCCGCCGCGCGCTGCCTCAGGCAGCTGCTGGGGGAGGACGCGGTGCCGGCGGCCGCACCTGCCGCCGCTGCAAGCGGCGGCGGGGGCGGCAAAAAGGGCGCGGCTAAGCCCTACGCCACGGCCGCGCCCGCCGCGG